TGCCATGACAGACTCTCACCGCTGGCCGAGGAAGTCCGTCGCCGCCACGACTTAGCCTTGCCATGTGCCCCACACCTTCCCGTCCTTAAATACCGATCGCCCACTGCGTGTCAGCTCCATTCCGAGCCCTCGAGCAAGCTCCTATCTCGTCCGAGTCACTGCTACCTGAGCCGCAACCCTAGCGCCGTCGTCCTCACCTGGCCGCCTCTATTCGCTCCGCGCCTCGGTAAGATGACTAGTTGAGTTTGTCACCTTCTTCTCTACCTCTCGATGCTTTTCTCGCTTGAATCGAGGCCCAGGGCCATGGTCCCCGTCTTGGCGCTAAATCGCCGCCGGCCACGCTGGTCCGCTCTTTCTCTCTCTCTCTCATCTATTCCTAGTCGTTCAATCTTGATCCAACGGTTGAGATTAACCCGTACCCCTTCGCAGGCAATTTTGCTAAAGAGCCCCTGCCCTTTTCTAGTATAGAACCCGTAGTCCATAGCATATTTCTGGAATACGTCTTTTTCTTTGGAAAGCGTATTTTCCTTCAGTTAGATTCAAAATACGTTTTCATCTATTTATAGTTTTGCCACTAGCCTTATTTAGGCCATAACTTCTTCGTTTTGACCAGTTTAAATTGCGTTAGATTCATAACGACGTAATTTAAGTTATAGTAGTATTGTTTAACATGCTCTATGCTTTCAAATAAAATGTTAATTTGATAAATCAATATGCAATTAGTTTTCCAATTAAAAGCAAATTAGATTTTCTACTTCGATCATTTCTAAGTAAAATAAGATTAGATCTATCCTGGTTTTCCAAATCAAATATAATTTGACTTAATTCTATTTGGATACTTCTCTAAAATATCTTATATATATGATTTTATATAGTTAAAATAAATAAAGCCTATAGCTTTCTTCTTCATATATAAAGGTGAATCTCCCGGTAGATGTTTCTTTTTCATCGTAGCTCAATTAGCGTGTTTTTTCGGCGTACGTGTGCTCGTAGCAATGCGTAGATTAGTTTTCAAACCTTTTTATTGTCTGGTGTACTGTTCTAATTTAGCTCTATTGTTTGCTTCATGTATGATTGCATGGATGCTTGTGTGGTGCTTTATGATCATGTCTAGTCGGTGAGCTTTGCGTTGGTGATATAAAAGAAGTTGGTGATACAGAAGAAGTCCTTTGGAGGTTACAATTCAATAGAAGAATGATCTGAGTTTAAGGCAAGTATAGCATGGGATCCTCCTTGTTGCCCTATACACCTTTAATCATTTAATTCATATGCATGTGTCTATCTTGGCAACCATAGTAATTTTCCTAGCTATTTGATATCTTGGATTCCTTGATACCTATGTGTTTATGCATTGGGTAGTATGATGCTAGTGCTCAATTAAAGACCATGATCTTGTAACTTTACTAATGGTATATGCAATAAACACTAAAAGATGCTTTTTAGCAACATAGAACAAGGGGGCTAGAGCATTGGGCTATTTTATGGTGCTCTAAATTTCTCTCCCTAAGGACTTATCTGTAAGCGAACATACGAGATTTACAGTACAACTGTGAGGACTATATGGTTCTGGCTTTAGCTCAGTATGAGGCCCTTTTCCAGCTTGTTAGAGGTTACCTTTATGGCGTAAGAATGGCTTGACGAATCGGGTATAGTGCGGCCTCTGTCCCTATGGGTATAGGCTGCGCGTCATTGTGCCATCGGGAACGGGAGCTCTACATCTATTTGCCGAGTGAATCTAATGGCCCTAACTTGTTAGACGAACCTTTGAAATGCTTCATAGTGAACCATGCCGACCTTCCTTGGTAGTGGGTCAAGAGGTTGACCGCCTCGGGCGAAAGAGTAAATCATGACTCACAGTGAAAGTGTACAACCTCTGTAGAGTGTAAAACTGATATATCAGTCGTGCTCACGGTCACGAGCGGCCTTGGACCCTTATGAAATAGATGATGGACACTGATGATACTGATGATAAAGATGCTCACTAATGATTACTGTTTATGCTATTCATTATTCATGTTTACCTGATTATGTGCTTATATGGGCTTGTGAACAAACTTGTTGCCACCCAATTGCTAAAAGATGACTCATTAAAAGCTAATCGCAGTTAAACTAGTGTTAGCCTTTTGAGACTCATGAACCCCATGTTATATTTGTTGAGTACGACACGTACTTACGCTTGCTTTACTTTTTAAATCTTTAGAAAAATCTCGGATGTGTACTAGATTGCTAGAGTTTGGAAGAATTAGACTTGTGATCAACCAGTCAGTTGTCTCTGTAGAGTTGGAGTCTTCACCTGAAGATCGGAGTTGTCTTGCCGCTGTTTGTTGTTTAAGGTTATATCCTTTATACTAAGTATGTTATATATTGAGCATTATCTTTTGATATTACCCTTATTTGTAGCTATACGTGAGAATTGACTTCCTAGGCTCACATATGGTGCGTATCTGGTTTTGTTCTTAAAATCAGGTGCTACAATACTCCTACATGATAGATGGATGGATCAGAGAGTCGATCCATGCATGCAGAGATACATTTATTGGTTACTTATATTAGCATTTTATCATATAATTCATTTCATTAATTCAAGGGATGTTCTTACATATACTATATATCCCTTTCTCAAAATAAAAATTCTAGGTCTGATCATCAGGGTCAAACTATCGTAAATTAATTTGACTAAGCTTATATTTCATGAAAATCTAATGATACATATTTATCTAATAAATATTATTTATATATATAAATTTAGTTAAACTTTAAAATCATTTGACTTAATAACACTACTCTAGAATTGCATCTTTTTTTTTTGGACAGGAGAGCATATACATATATGTTTCTCTCTCTCTTATATATATATATATATATATATATATATATATATATACAAAAATAAGTTATTATGTAGCCACCTTCATTTACGATAATTTTATATACTAATTTACGATAATGTCAATACATATTTACGATAGTAGGGTTACTATAACACACGGGGATATTTACCATAACGTTATAATAAATCACTTAGTAAATAGTTACTATAATCTCGTAAATTAACATAGTAATTATCGTAACTCAAAGTGGCTATAGAATAAGTTATTTTGTAGCCAGGGTAGTAGTTATATATATATATATATATATATATATATATATATATATATATATATATATATATATATATATATATATATATAGAGAGAGAGAGAGAGAGAGAGAGAGAGAGAGAGAGAGAGAGAGAGAGAGAGTATACTCTGTAGCTAAAATAGGTTAGTCTGTAGCCAGGCCGTCCGACCGCACCGGGCTCGCACTCAGTTTCAGATCCTGCGCTGGTGGGTTCCCGTAATTGCGTGATGCTGATTTCACGTGCGAGCCAGCCAAGCTCATAAATGGAGCGAGCTAGCCGGAATTAATTGCATGGTTAAATAATTATGGTAATGGAAAAAATTAACCGTCGGTGCTAGCCTCCGTGCTGCACGCTGGGGTACCATATGGTTCTCGTAACTTCATTTTCCTAGTATGGTAACAGGAGGCGTACATGCACGTGCTAGTATGGTAATTAGGATGTCGAGTTACTACTTTATCTCCTTGATTTGCTGACGTTAATTTTGGCAACTCTAGTTGTCCCTGCGGTATGCATGAAAAGCTAACAAGGATTACGAGAACACATTCATGCGCATGCAAAGATTACGAGAGTATGTATAATAGTACAAAATATATTCTAGTTACTATAATTAGCACCCAAATGTTCCAGGCGCGCACGCAAATGATCAGCCTGTTCATTTCGGCTGAAACGATCGTGGATTATTACTGCTGGCTGGTTTGGTGTGAGAGAAAAATATTGTTCTGGCTTATAATCCACGATCGTTTACGACCAAGCGAATAGGCTGGATCTTGTTACGATAATTTGCACATATTCTGGTTACTCTAGTTATTAACTAGCACGCAAATAATTAGGACGAGGGTTTTATACTGTAAATATTTACGAGAATTTTGTACGGTAAATGTTTACGAGAATTTTATACTGTATAAATATTTACGAGAATTTTATCTTATGAATATCTCGTACTATGAAATTTACGAGAACTTGCACAAAGAATATTTACGAGAACTTTGTACTACAAGTATTTACGAGAATTTTTGAACTATGATCAAATTTAATTTACTATAACATCAATATAAGCTACGCACGAACCCTCCTCTCCCGAAGCCGAGGAAGACCAAAAATTTCAGCATTGGCCAACATTCATTTACCAAGTCACATTTTTTTAAAATGAAAAGATTAGAGCCATCTTCAACAAGGAGATGAAGCACAGATTTTTTTAGTACATAACACACTAATACATGTGTCCACCCAATCAAATTTAAACACAAACAAAAGTACAGGAAAAGAAGAGTAAGTTTCTATATAGTTTTAACACAGATCATCAGGTAAGTTAGTTCGAGCTGTGTGTGGCGCAGGTTCAGCACAGACCACAGAGCTTCTTGATCTTCTTGTCGTGGTTTGTAATGCATTCAGAAGAGCAGCTTTGACCAAACCTGAGGTACCTTTTTCTGCATTAGTAATGAGACACAATTAGAATGAACGAACTAGCTTGCATCTTCCAATTAACAGAATGAAACTAACCCTTGAACAGTGCACAAATGTCATTCCTACGAGCAAAAATGACTATAACAGCAATGATTTGTATGGATGCAAAGATATATTTACGATAATGTTGTGTAGAATACACTAGACAAATGGAATGCATTTACCATAATTTTAGCACAATGTCATGATGAAGTTACCATAAAAAGATATGGTATGGATCTTTTTCCTAACACAAGCAGATACTATATCATTGCAAAAAAAAGAATGGCAATTGCTCCCGCTATTGAGGTTCGCAACAATTGTCGTCAATCCGGCCTGAAAATTATGAATCAAATTGTACAGCGAGACACTAGTACAGACCAAAAGCAAATTGACTCCATGCTTATCGTGGGATGCGGATTTGTGCGGGGCTCACCTCGAGATACTGTCACCGCCGGAGATGTGCCGGGTGCCGGGCCGCTGCCTCCTGATGTACGAGCGCCGCCGTGAGGGCCATATATGCATGGGGCGAGTCGCACGGCCGCCGGACGACGAGGGGAAGCCGCGCGCCACCGGTCGGGGAAGGGGCCGGGCCACGCCGCACCGCCGTCGGACGCCAGGGAAGGAGTGGACGCCGTCGCCACTGCTGGGAGAGAGAAGGGACGCGCCGCCGTCATCGGGGAAGGAGCTGCCGTGGAAGGTGTGGCCCGGGAGGCGCAGGGCGAGCCATGGCATCGCCGGGAGCGGCATCCGCCACTGGTTGGGGATGCGAAGCCGCGCGTGCCCGTCGGGACGCATATCTGCGCGGAGAGGTGGAGGACCGGCAGCCGCCGCCGCTAGGAAGGTGGATGGGCCGCCGCCTCGCTGGGAAGGTGGGGATCCACCGCCTCACCAGGAAGGTGAAGGAGGCGCCGCTGCGAAGGGGAGAGGTGGCCGGCCGGGGCAGCGGCGCGCCGAGCGGAGTGCCGTCGAGCCCGCATCGGCGCCGATCTGGGGGTGGAGCGGGCGGCGCTAATGTGCTCGGTGGGTGGGGGCGGACACGGTCGAGGTGTCGGGGGAGAAGCAGCGAAAGAAGCAGGCGACGGGGATTTGGGGATTTCCAAATGGTCAAGCAGGTCTTCTTGCGGCAGGTGGAAGGAAGGGGAAAAGTCACGGGGAATCAATCAATGCATGCATGCATTAGTCCGAAGGGGACCACCAAGCCAAAGCGACGAGCGTGACCTGCGGTGGATGGGGTTTGGGTGACCATGTTGCGCTGGTGACGCTCAGGCTCGCGAGTTCCGGTCCGGCCGGCTACAGTATTTTGTAGCCAGCTACAGTACAATAGTTATATATATATATATATAGTATTACTCTATGGTATCTGGTTACCAAATAGTTATTCAGTACTTAGCGTCCTATTTATGTACAGGATATATTGCTTCTAGCAATGCAATTGTTTTTGTCTGTGACTGAAGAAATGTGCATCTAGTGATGCACTGATGTTAATTCATATTATTATTTTCTAGAGAGCATTAACTATTGTACTATTATTAGTGTTAATCATGGGCGGCAGTACATGCATGTTTAATCCAGATCAAACACAGGTTAAACACATGCATATGGTCGTTCCTGCAGATTATACGTACATGACCATGCACATGTTTATATTTTTGATGCCATGAGTGTAGCTACGTATGGTTATAATTTTAGTCTTCTAATGTGCATATGTATAATGATAATGGCACTTGAATTATCTGAAGCATAAAACATTTTTTTTCTTCTGATATTTGACATGTTCTAACAGGTTATTCTCTTTGTCTTCACAAAGCCCAGCTGTATTATGTCAATTACTACTCCCCCTTTGTTCTCCTATATTTTTTTTATAATGTCAGATCTAATGAAAATAACGACATATCCTACATCACACTTCACATATAACTAATGCATATAAGGATGCTTTTGATGTCTTCAGATTGCAAGAGAACTGATTGTTCAAGACCACCCAATGAACTTTGTACGAGTTGGTTTTAAGGCATCTAAACAGTGCACCATGGTAACCTAATATAGCAGGTCTTGTGCATGCAAATGCATTCACAACGAGCTGAAATGAAGTAAGGTACACTTGTAAGATGCATGTAAATCATGCCTATTTTGATTTTTTTTATTATTTTACACACAATTTCAACTTCTTCTAAATCAAAACACAAACATTTGATGTCATAAAAGAATTTAATTTGTGTACCTTCTAGTGTTGATGCTGACTTTCTTTCGATGTATATAGATCGATATGTAGTGCAATTGCACACTTCACCATTAAAAGGACACAAGTATGTTTTTGACCATTAAGAATGATGAAATGAACACTTATCTGGCCCAATTGGTAGTTTAATTTGAGCCAAATTGTTGACCTAATCAAGACATTATGTGTGTTAGTAAGGAGCGATGAATCAATCGTATGTAATTCCACTTTGTGTCGATACACTCATCAATCACTGCGTACATGTATACAAATGCAGATTGCATATGTAACATTGTTGCCTTATTGGTGCACGCCGATATGTGTGTTCCATTCACAAGAGGGTTCTATATATTTCAAATGGCAAAGCCTAGATATATATGCCAGGAGAAAAGTGCAACCTTGACACCCATATGAGTTATCTAGTGTTTATATGTTTCTTTATATATAAGCTAAGTTTTTAATACTTTCCCCTTCCAGTTTTGATATAAAACCAAACCTATGCTCTCTTGCTGATCATCAGTTCAAACTCATTTGGAGTGTATTTGTCATCTACAACACTATAATGCTATGTTGATACATGTTTTACAGTTTGATTTCATGTCAAAGTTTTGTTAAAAATACTAGGGAAACTTGAACAAAGGGTCCACACTTATACATGATGCAGTCTCGGTACAAAATGAACATGTAGAAAGGAACATACACCAAATGAAATTTTCCTTGAACTAGCTTAAGGAAAGAATCGACATAAACGACACTTATGCAGTTTATTTTGATAACACTTGATATACATTATTTTGATAACACTGTTGCTAGCTATAGAATCGTGGGATTTGGCCAAATCATTAGAACAAATGTTAACAAAAAAAATAGGAAAATGAAAATAAAATAGAACTCTCAACATGTTGCCCCCCTTCGTATGTTAAGCTAAGCCTGATTTTTTCGAGACATTCAGAGCTCACCTCGTAAAATGCATGTAAGTTAATTATATGTTAATATGGTAATTCAAATCTATATATGGTATAGTATAGTGTCACTCTTAAACCCCTCAAAAAAGTGTCTCTCTTAAGTCTTAATTTAATATGGTTATATATATATATATATATATATATATATATATATATATATATATATATATATATATATATAATACCGAGAAATATAGAAACAACATAAATAAAAGTGATGGGTTATTATTATTACCACTAAATCAAAAGAATTGCATAGGTGGGGTAACCAATTAATCTTCACAAATGTACTGAGCTGATATTAATAAAAAAAGATGATCCATGCTTTATATCTATATCTAGCAACTATCCAAGAAAGAGAACGTTGAAACACTGACATTGGCTTAATGGATGTCCTGGTTTAGTTAAATTTATTTTTCTATTTCCTGGTTATTCCAACAGTCTCCACATCCACAGGAACATACATGGCAATTAAAAAAACTCCTTTCATTGTAAGGTAGTACCGTGAGGCGTTGTTCTAGTGCGTTACATGTGTCATGTATCTTCAGCAACAGTAACAATATAGAAAATGAGCTCCCACTCATAGATACGCACATATGGTCCTCACTGAAATATACACATATATGCACATGCGCAGTGTGCATTACATGATCAAAAGAGATTTTGTAGGCCCTTGTATCAGGCTATCAGCAAGTTGTTTAAGCCACGTCTTATTTATGAAAGAAACATCTTCAAATGTGCATGCCACACACATGTACACATCGTCCACTCATGTGTTTGATTATTGGAAAATACATATATAGGAGCTACATAATACAATTGGATGTCGAGTCAAGTTATGGGGCTCTATGCATGGGATGGATGTTCATACAATAGCTAGCACTCCTTCACCAACCCCAGCCTGTTGTGTTTCATGACCCGATACCCGTGATTGCCACCTCTCTTCATCAACCTATTAGGCATGCCTTCAACTAGTGGTACTTTGTCTTTAGGAGTATTGCACCCACATGTTGCCATTGACGCCCCTTCCACCATCAACGATTGTGGCTAATAGAAATTTTCCCTTCAAGGCTTAAACCCTTATGCATGTAACCATTGGATTTGCATTGAGATTCTTGTGCTGTAAGAGAAAGACATTAAATCATTTCTCTTTTTTTGTAGTGTAGAAATCTCAATGCACATCTAATGGGCGATGTGCAGAAGAGTATATTCCCTTGAGGATAAAAACCCTCGCCTATAAATGGCCAATCTACCGCACTAACTTGTCAAGACAATCGCCATGTGCCACCCACCATTTCTCATCACCCATTCATTTGTTGCATTCCCACCCATACGTGGGCGCGGCATGTCGTCGCCTCTCTTCCTCCCTCTATGTTCAGAGTTGATGGATACTAACCTTAACATTACTTCAGCTCTTTCCTTTGTTTTCTTTCACTCATTAGCTTTTTCTTAGACAATCAAAACCGTAACCAACCTCTGTATAATGAGATGCACACAACCTACATAAGATTGTTACATTACTATACATAGCTCTCAATATATGATGAAACATCAAAAAACTAAATAAAATAACAAGCCTCACAATGTTGGAAACATCAACAGATCAACTGATGCTGCATAGCCCTATTATTGAACTGACACCGATTCTTGGTGGAGAACAAATCCATGGTAACTACGTACCTCCGACGATTGGCGTGCCATACATGATGTCTCCTCCATTTTTTCCACATTTTGCAACAAAGGCAAGTGCACAGCTAGAAAGCTTCTTCATTTGAAGCTTCCATGCATATAAGATCATATATATGATGTGTCATAGACGAACATGTACATGCTCTCTATCTCTCTCTTTTTTATGGAATATATGCTCTTGTTCTTTCTTAATGTAATGACAGATAGCTTCCTTCCGGTTTGGGAAATAGAATAACGTATGACAAGAACAAAGTTAATGTACTGTGAGGCTCTTGCTTTAATTTCTTCTTTTAAATTTTATTGGCTGACCTAAAGAGAAGAAAGCTAGCTAGCTAGGATCTGGTAAAGACGGCGAAATAAAGGGATGAAGGTATCTGAATAGAAAAGGTTATCTGCGGTAGGCATGCATGCACTGATTACAGCAGAGAGCTGACAGACAGGAGCCAATCATGCAACAGAGAAGAGATGGATGGATCGCTTGTGTAGGAGTGTGTACTACAGTGGTGTTTGGTTCTTTAGTCGTTCTAAAATTTATGTCATATCAAATGTTTAGAGTCTAATAAGGAGCATTAAATATAAATTAATTATAAAACCAATTATATAGATGGAGACTAATTTTCGAGACGAATTTTTTAAGTCTAATTAATCTATCATTAGCACATGTTTACTGTAGCACAACGTTATCAAATCTTGGACTAATTAGGCTTAAAAGATTCGTCTCGCAAATTAGTCGCAAGTTGTGCAATTAGTTTCATAATTAATCTATATTTAATACTTCATGCATGTGTTCAAACATTCGATGTGACAGAAATTTTAGGAGGAGGGAAGGAAACCAAACAGGCCCTACGCATGAATGCGTACGCATGGCCTTCGCT